GCACCCCAGGTGGTGGGGCCGGTGGTGGCACGGGAACAGGCGGCGCTGTCGGCACAGCGTGTTTTTCTACTGAGCTAACTGGGTTCTTACACGGCCTACCACGCTTTGGCCTCTTTGCTCTGGCTGCTGGTGGTAATAAGTGCAACGGCACATGTTGTCTGATACGTGCGTTCAGGTGTTGAAGAGTCCTACCAACGTACCGGGCAGCACAATTCCGGCACTCAAAGAGATAAACCAAATGGCTTGAAAGCTGGGGAGGTAGGACATCCTTCCTCACCATGAACGCACGTACCGTGGTGAACACGGGGATGAAGTGGGCAGCAAAGTATGTTTTATTGACTAGGGTCTTGATAGCTCTGGACATGCTGACAGACGCATTGCCTTTCCAAGGCAGGCATAAGTAGATAGGACACTTCCGAGGACCTGTGAATGTATCTTTGTTATTAGATTCTTGCTTCAGTATTTTGTTCAATAAGTCATGTGGGTATCCATTCTTAAGGAATATTGATCTGAGAAATTCCAGCTCGTCGTTGAGCTTCGTTTCAGAGCAGAGCCGCTTTGCTCTCCCCACCAGGTTACGTACCAGGTTCACTTTGTATTGATGTGAGCAATATGAATCATAGACATAGACGATGTACTGCCCAGTGAAAGTGGGCTTTCGGTAGACTGATGTTACGACGCTGTTATTAGATTTTTCTACCTGCACATCCAGAAAGGCGAGTTTGTTGTCATGCTCATGCTCACATGTGTATCTAAGCGCTGGGTGTAGGTTGTTTAGATGATGAAAGAATGTGTCACATTGCTCAACGGAATCAAAATATGTAAAAGAATCATCGACGAAACGAACGTATACCTTAGTAGGCCACATCGACTCATTGATCAAGGATTCACAGTATCCAACGAATATATTTGCCAAAACGGGTCCAAGGGGGGACCCCATGGCCACACCGTCCACCTGCCGATACATTATGTCGTTGAACGAGAACTCTACGCCAGTAGTGACCAAGGACATTAACTTACGGAAGGCTGTCTCCGACAACCAAGGAGTATCTACCGAATCATTTCGATACAGTACATCAGCACAAATATCGATTGTCTCATCCAATGGCAATGGTACGTTCGTGAACAATGATACTACGTCAAATGAACACATATGAGCACTAGCGGGAACCTGATGAGAGCGCAAGATATCTACAAACTGGAAACTGTCTTTCACTGTGCGCGTACAGTAATAACTTTGTACGACCCCGAGAATAACACAGAGCCACTTAGAAATGCTGTACTGTGGAGATGAAACCATTGATAGTATCGGTCGCAAAGGACAATTGGTTTTATGTATTTTTGGCAAGCCATAAAGTCGTGGACGGATGGAACCCATTGGCTTGATTTTAAGAAACTCGCCATTGGTAATTTCCTTTTCGGCTTTTAGTCGCTTGAGATACGTAACTAGGTTCTTCTCTACTTTTACGGTGTTGTCATGAGTCGCGACTGGGCCTAATTTTGAGAACTTCGAGGTATCATCAAGGATGACTGCCATTTTAGAAAGGTATTCCTCTCTAGTGAGGACAGTGACTGTGGCCCGTCCTTTGTCAGGTCGGAAAATCGATTTTGAATAACATAAAAATCCTTAAAAATTCCATGAACTCGTTGTTGTCTGGCCATGTCTGCATCGATTATACTCCTAATTGCACTAATAATAATAATAATTTAAAGAGTCGGCGTGGAGAAAGCAATTTTATTAGTGCAATTAGGAGTATAATCGATGCAGACATGGCCAGACAACAACAAGTTCATGGAATTTTTTTAAGGATTTTTATGTTATTCAAAATCGATTTTCGTGTTCCGCTCATCAGTGAATAGTATCGGAACTGAGGGTACTGTGTACAAAAATAGAACATTTTATAACAGCATAATTAATTAAAAGTGTGAACAACAAAGGAAGTGCTACAGCATTACATATGTGTAGCACTGTGTATGTATTCGTGTGCATAATCCTGTTCTTTGTAAACAAAAGAAGCATGTAGTCGCGCTAAAGTTGTTCTCGTAGCTGGTTATCAGATGTAAATGTTGTGTCATGTTGCACTGTATCACCTCTTGCTTTGTGGCTGCACTCAGTTATAATATTATTTACTTTATTTATTATACGTTAGCACTATGTTTGACACCTATTATGTAATGCTGTAGCACTTCCTTTGTTGTTCACACTTTTAATTAATTACCGGTATGCTGTTATAAAATGTTCTATTTTTGTACACAGTACCCTCAGTTCCGATACTATTCACTGATGAGCGGAACACGAAAATCGATTTTGAATAACATAAAAATCCTTAAAAAAATTCCATGAACTTGTTGTTGTCTGGCCATGTCTGCATCGATTATATTCCTAATTGCACTAATAAAATAATAATAATAATAATAATCCACATACCAAACATGCATGAAACTTACCAGAAAAAGTACCGAATTCTGCCAATTTTTCTGCCGGCATTATCCCGCATATGCCTAACCCCCCCCCCCCCCCCCCCCCGAGCTCCAGACCAGGCCCGGAGATAGTCCCTGCTCCAGACCAGGGAACCATGGTGTGTCATGGCTCCCTGGGCCAGACTCCTGCATGCTTTCAAGGGCGGATGCCGTAGTAGTAGAGACGTTCAGCTCTACGTTACGGGAACATGTCCGTCCGATTCCGGATCGGCTTCAACCGTTCACTATGATTCAGGTTCGAACAATCTCCCGGGGGCACCGTCCCTGGGGAGAAACTCGAGTCATTCATCCGGAAACCGGGCTATGTACCGGTATACTGCACCAGCATTGATGTGGGCATTATCGCCGGGATCCGCTGAGTCTGTGACCGTGGTTATTATTATTTATTTTTTCTGCCTAGCTTCTTTGTAAGCTCAGTAAACCCTGCCTGTTGCGGCAGGTACCTTGTGCCCACAATATTTCCCCCATGATGTTACAAATCGATAGTGTACTCGCTATCAATTCTCATGTGCCTTCAGACTCATTTCAGAGAAACAGTAATGTTAGATCTACGGTGTTATGTGCATTCCCTGTTGTGTGCACGGAAATGATGGATGGATGATGACGGAACTTTTTATGAAAGTATGGATGCGATTTCAGCAACTTGAACTTGTTTTGGCATGGTTGCGAAAAGCAGAAGTTGCGAAAAATTATGGCATCTCAAAAACAGGCTAGCCATAGTGAAGGCATGTCTGGGGTAGAGGGATCAAAATGAGCATGGGATATTTTCCATAAGATGTGAAGAATAACACCAAGCCACTTGTTCTCGTTCTGGTGATGTCAGTCCAAAATCTTGCCAGTATATGTACATGCACTGTAGTCAGATCAATGAAATTGGCTATGTCAGGGAAATGGATCATGTGCTGTTATCTGGTATCACATCTAAACTGTGACATGCATCTCGGTGGTCATACTGAACCAGGAACGATTTCGGCGTGACTGGCGCAGTGTTGTTCACTGTGTGTGAGGCTGTAGGGTCTCTAAACAACGATTGTACTAGTAAGTTAGTACTTCAAGTAGTACATGTACTAACTTCGAAGCACTGTAGTTTCATTTTGTGTAGGACTTGATCATGATACTGAATCATCACCAAGTCCAGGGTTGGATATCAAGTGTACCGTCTTGGCATTACACTGTATATCCCGTGACCCTGATAATTGTATGTATGCAGTAGTGTTTACTCAATCTGCGGACAGTAGATCAGCAGTGCAGTAGTGTTTAGAAAGTCATGGAACTATAAAAACTTAGTAGGATCTATGATTATGATTATGAGTCTTACTGGCTGAACTCTGAATGGTCTTCACTCTTGGTTGCTTGAAGTAACTCGTTAGTTAGTTGAACTGATTCCATACCGCGAATCTGCGAGACACTGCCACTGATACTGACTGTCTGTAGTACTAGTAGAGAGTACAGTGCGGATCGGCTATGGTTGTCGGCTATAGTAATAATTATACCTCTTTGTAGTGATCGTATTAGTACTAGTACTAGTGTAGAGTATAATCAGCCTATCACTGTATCAGTATCAGGTGGTGGGCCCAGCTAGGCTGACAAGTGACCACTGTCACTGACCAGTGACTGGCATGGTGACGTCTTGATACGGATTTAGAAGCTGACGCATCTTTCAGTCACGCAGGATATGAACCGGTACCACTACCAGGGTCCTACCGTACTACTACTAGTATGTAGCGGTATGCAGCTATGACAGACTGTCGATCTCCAGCACAGGCTAGCAGAACGGGCTTAGTTCTCTGAAGCAGACCACTTCTCCGAAAGTGCAGATCTCGGCATTTTGCTGTCACCAGCTACAGAACTGATTGATGAAGAATGAGATCTGTTGCTGTCACTGGCCTCTCATACAAGCAGTATCCATCGTGTATCTAACAACGTTACGTAACTAAAAAAAGTCTTTAGCGGGTGGCCAAATGAAAACAGCTGATGGCTGCAAAAGCATTGGCAAACACACAAGGCCATTGATCTGAACCTGGAATTCAACTGTTTACCACATGCCACCACCAAGCTGCAGGCTGCATCATAATACACTGCAGATCTACTGAACTGTTATGTTGGAATGGGCAGTAGATCCACCAAAAATGTAGTACAAAACGCTCCCTGTACTAGGCTGTAGGCTGTTTAGCTGTCTGGATGTGGATCCTCCTGGCAGCCGCTAGTGTAGGCACTACTGGCACTAGCACGTGCATTGTGTTTGTGCTAGTGCGTGTGCGACGTTCTTTATTCCTTTTACTGTAGACCTACCACGAATTATTTACTTGCACTATGATTGCCACTGGCACTGCCAGTACTACTACTAGGCACTAGTACTCATGAGTACTACATCATGTAGTGGATCTGGATGAGTGGATCAGCCAGTGCACTGTCTGTGCAGTGAGGCGGATTCAGTCGGAATCGTGCAGGCTGCTTCAACTCAGCCTCACGGGGAAAGGCGTTGGCTGCATGCAATTGCAAAGAAGTAAAAAAACCGCATGTCGCCGCGCCGCCAAAGATGAGGTCAACATTACTCATGCCTTCTTCAACAGCGCTAGCGAGAGTGGAAGAGGTAGTGCAGTATGGAAAGGAAACTCGTGCCATCATCGCCTTCGCAGAACTGGCTTGTGGCTGTGCAGTGGCTGACCGCACGTACGAAGTAGAGGAGTCGATCAAGGGCTACAAAACGCAGAGTAGTGACGGGAAGAAGCACCAGTTGAAGACTACTGGCTACTATTTGCACTGGCACTTGATCTATCTGGGAGAGTGAGAGTTTGTGCTATCGATAGCTCATCAAGACACACCGATGGTGGCACTGCACTAGATTGGACCATCCCTCCTTCACCTAAATCCTAACAGAGGTCAGTATCGCCAGCGGACACCTTCAAAAAGGCTTCATCAGATTTTGCAGTTAGCCCTGCACCGACTAGCATCCACTCGGAATCAGCTGATACATGGATCATTTGGACGAATCGCCAGCAGCAATGGATCAGCAGTTGACGAAACTACTTCACCAGCACAGACGGTGAGTGCAGTTAGCGAAGTCACACAGTAACCACGTAACTGCAATATTTTAGTTTCGCCTCGATTAGGTGTCACACGTGCAGGATCAGCTGATTGCCGCTGGCACGTCTAGATCATTTAGGAAGTAAAACTTTGCGATGCCAAAAGACAGTTTGTAGTAGTTGGTGGGTTGCCGTTGCCGTCAGTCACTTCGACACTCACAGATTGTTCTGGCAACCAACCACCGACCGTGTGCGTCTGGTGCCTCTGCTTAGGAGAACTAACTAAGCTTGAACTGCTTCATCATGCATGTGTTCGCCCGTGATCCAACATCACACATGTTGACAGCGTTGTGTCGCTAGCTTGTTCAAACTGAAAGCACATACACCGTGATCACAACTTCACAAGGCACTCCAGCGCTGTGATGATTTCTTCCGCTCTAGCACTAGCCACGCAGGTATACGCTTGCTTGGCATTTTCACCGCAGAGACCTGCCGATCCTTTAGCACTTCCCAAAGGCGAACGCCAACCAACTATTGTTTTCGTTAGTCTATTAGCGCTATAGCGAAGCAACCGTTATCAATGCTCACTTTCTGAGTTTCACTTGTAAGGCCAACACACGTAACCGCTCGTGGCTGAAAATGAAATAAGGGCGGAGATTGTGCCAGGCGGATCAAGCGGGTTATTGTACCGCGACGGAACGACAGGACGGCACGCAAACTACATCGGCATGGTCGTGGAGAAGGTAAAAAAAAACTTTATCGCTGCATGGTAATCTTCAAGCGGCAACAGAAAGAATCCATTCTTCACTCATCACTTGGCAATTGGGCCTTGGGGTCACCCGTAGATCTACGTTCATGGATCTAGATGAAGCATTTCACTACAGCGGTCAGAGTCCGCAGGATCTAGGAATGCCGCATCTGCACTAGCACTTTTCGTGTAAGAAAAAAACTGGACCCTGTCCCATGCCATGGGCCATGGTGGGCAGAGGGCAGCTGTAATAGTTAATTAGTTTGGCGCGTGAGAGAGGAAGCAACCAGCCAGGGTACAGCCGCCACAGTGTTCATTTCAAATAAAACTACAGAGTTCTTGAAGCACGTAGCCAGTGTGCTATTCAGTGAAAAACAAGATCAAAGAGCAAGGACTACTGTCTGTTGAACATCAAAATAATGCCGTACTCTACGTGTACATGTTCCCTTGTTTATCCAATTGCAGAGATCTGATGTTTGAACTGCGTCGCCTGTCACACAAGGAGAAGGTGGTCACACAACACCAGGAGCACTTTCAAACTCTCCTGGACGCAGTCGTACAGCAACACGTTCAGAGACTGTACTCCGCCGACTGCCCGGACGAAGACGATGACTACGAAGAAGAAGAAGACATAAAGAAACCCGAAGCTCTGGCTGAGCCTGAGGGAGAGCAATCGGTTGCTACGGCAACCGAGGAAGAGCAACCTGTTGCTACGGAAACCGAGGAAGACGCTGAAATGCCAGTTGCCGTAGAAGCTGAGGCTGTTGAAGCACCACGGGATCCAGTGGACAACCGCCCGCCTGAAATCCGTAATGAGGTATGCCTATAGCCGCTCAATTGTCACAGCATCTGAGGCAGTACTGCATACCGCTACGCAGAGAGTCGTAAAATACGATTCCCTGCCGCTACGCAACACTACTGTCTTTGACATCCACTATACAGTACACGGTATGTAGTCACTTAATGATAATGAGGCTTTCTGGTAGCGATGCTCATTTTATCATTTTTTTCTTTCTTTTGCGTGTCCCCTTGTGCCCGGTCTAACGACCCTGCCACGGTTTTCTTGCTCGTCTTTGTGTGAATGTCGACTCAGATGCAGCACTTGGTAGCACAGCGGCCAGTGACACACCTCCTTCGAGGAGAGTTCCGTTCACTACTGGAGCGGGCGGTCAGCGACAGTACAGATCGCCTAATACGCCTGCAACGTCCGCGTGCCACTCCACGACGGCCTGTTGACTCGAGTACAACTGAAAGCGGCTCGGCGCACAGGGACCAGGAGGTGTCACGACATCGTGCCCATGGCACTGGGCATGCCAGACACGGTGGCAATGCTGGCACTGGAACCAGGGTACGCCAGGGCATCCGTACCATCGAGCCGCAGGAGGTCAATCTCTTGGTGAGTGCCTTTGCAACTACACCATCACATGCACGGTACATGTTCATGGGTGTGCAAGGAGGAGCCTCGGAGAGTTGTGTCCTGTTCTTGTCCATATCACCATCATCATTGAGCAAGCTTATGACCAAACACAAGGGAGATATGGCATGACATGGCATGCCATGAGGCTCGACATGCAGTGTAGATCGCATATCACAACAGGTTGAGTTTAACTACATAATTATACTACCTTCTGTTGCCTATGTCCCATAGCAAGTCCTTTCCGAGTATTGGGTTTAGTGCCATGTGCAGGTCAGATATGGCGTGTCCACTGTGTATTTGATCTATGGAAGGAGTGCCGTTATCATGCAAATATCCACTGTGCATTGCATGCCAGCACTATCCACTGCTGTGCATTGCATACCAGCACTATCCACTGTGCATTGCATCATACCAGCACGCTTGCGCATGCCAACTGTTCATAGCGGTCTACACATATCCGTGGGGGATTGCACTTGATTATAGTTTCGTTATTGACGTGCAATACAAACAGCACGATGTGCACTGTATGTCTGTCCCTTTTGGTGAAATGCAGAACCAAATGGAGCGGATACAGCAGGAGGAAATTGTCCTGGAGGTCGAAGAGATCATGCACCATCAGGTTGTCTCTGCTATTCTGGCCAGCGAATTCCGCAGTGCTCTCGAGCAACACATGGAGGTGAGAAACATGTGTGGATTCAGTGGTCACGTAACCTGTACGGTATGAACTAGCTAAAAAAACGGTCAATCACATCATGACCAACTCCGGGCTGACACCACTGTATGTACGGGTAGCTATAGACTGCCGGGAGTCATGACTTCTGCATTCACTGTTGGCTCAGTCATGGCAGGGGAGGTCATGATGTGTTTAGAGAGATGGTCGTTGTCCACTGGATGCAGGTCTGGTGGGATTGGTCCGGGACCACCGGAGGCAGGCCTGGTGGAGCTGGTCCTCAGGCAGGGGTGTTGGGACCGATGCGGCAGGTGCAGCCAAAGCTGCACCCGGTGAATACGTTTAGTTTGTGATTTTTGAAGTTTGATTGGAAAATTCCCAGGGGGGGGGGGGGGACTAATATCCCGCCTCTTCATTGCCGCACCAATGTGGAATACCCTCCGACGTCACTTTTAAAGTTACTCGCACCTTTTGCTACTGTACATGCATGTGTAAATACAAGGCATGTTGCTTTTCTGTAGGTCTTGACCTAATGTCGATGTTGGGAAGCTAGTCAGTTACTCCCGAAAGTCAAAACGATAATTACCTGTGTCATGATGTCCATTTGTTTACGCAGGACCGACTGCAGAGGGCTGGCGGAAGTGGCGAGCAAGTGGAGCAGTTTGTGCGAGGCCTGGCACATCGACGGCCAAGAGACCACCGTGCGGCGCATACACGACACGGTGCATCGTCTCTGGACGGCGCCGAAGTAACCGGCCTTAAGGCGGACGTGCGGGCATTGACGCGGACCGTTGCGGAGCTGGAGCGCCTAGTCAAGCTCAGCTTTGATCTGCACCTGGACAATCAGCGGGTACTGCGGCAGGAAATGGCAGCTGTGTCTCATGCTGTCAACGCCCAGCAGCACCAAGGTAAGCGCCGCCTGGGCCTCACACCAGTATACATATATGAAGGGCATAAGCTAGTAAAGTATCTCTGCCATAGCATTTCCGCCACACCATCATGCACTAAAATGGTGCTCCCATTGGGCGATTTCGGCCAGCTTTCTTTCCGAGTCACCCCAATTTGCACAATTATGTGGATATGTGTCATCACGTGTGATTATCTGCGACACAGCAAGAGCTTGGCAATCTAAGGTGTTCAGTTTAGCAATTCTCTTTTACTCTTTGATCTTGTCCCGTAACTGCAGGAATAGCGTCCGTAGGCACGGCAGGCCCTATGCAAGGTGGCACGTGCGTAGTGTGCCATACCTGTCCCAGTGATGCAACATTCTACAGCTGTGGTCACATGTGCACGTGCTGCCAGTGCGCACACGATCTGCACGCGCGGCCGAATCCCGTGTGCCCAATCTGCAGAGCGCCAGTCAAGGATATCATCCGCGTCTTCCATGTGTAGTGGGTGGGCTCTGTCTGTGTAATTGATCCAGGTGTATATGCGTGTTGAATTTGTCACCGTCTAATGCCGCATGATGCATTGCCATTATCCATCTCAGTACAATGAGATTCATTGACTTCGCATTAGCAAAGTGTCCCGTTGACTGAAAACGTTCCCTGTTTCACATTAAATACAGATACTCATCATGGTGTTTGCGCTGCCTTTTTCAACGTCAACATAATCATGAGGCGTTTTGTATCAAGATTGTTTGTCGATGCAACTTGTTTTTATTTTCATACGTACCTGCACTTGAAGATCGTCACTACACAGACTCTACTAGGTTGAATTCATGTTAGAGGTGGTCACATACCCACCGTCGGAATTCAGAGAGATGTCAAAAGTGACTGGGGATTTCCCCTGAGCTTACATCGCGCCGTTTCTGATTATGAATGCCATCACCGGCACAGCTTCAAGTGCTTGATTTTTATATCGCCACATTTTTAATTCTTACTTCACCATTTGCTCGGTGTCATCTGTACTAATGATCATGATTGAAGCGTACACAATCGCCCTCCAAAGAGTGTGCAACTCGAACTTTTGTGCAGGATGCAAGTGTATGGATCAGCACAGGTACCGAGTCATTTCTGAAATAACTCACAACAATGACAACGGAACACACAGTCATCAAGTGGTGCCATGTTTCTGTCATATTATGTATCCAGTGGGCGATTTGGCTTGCCGGAAACTTGAGAAAGAGCACTCCCTGAAGAACCACTGGCAGGCTACTATGGTAGATCTAGCCTGCGCAGCATCCATAATTGCAGCAACAATGCACCACATGTGTGTGTGTGTGTGTGTGTGTGCATGGGGGGGTATTTTATTATCCAGGGTCAGAGTTAGCCACACTCTTTTTTGTTTCACACGAAAATTTAAAAAGTCTCACCACACCCCTCCTATTTTGAAAAAATTGAATGAAAACTGTGACATTCAACTCACACCATTCCAGGATGCGATGCACACAGTAACGAATGCACTATTTTTTTCTTGTACCATAGCGTGTATCTGTGTGTATGTTTGTGTGATATTGAAACTCACGATTCCATGCTGGCAGCTCATGCAGCCATCACAACCCATGCACACACAGGCATGCACAACAAAACCATCCTTTATACATTGTAATGCTGTGGGAGGAAACGATGTGAAAGCTTGTACAGTGGACAAGACACTGGTCAAGGGACAGAAAGACTGGCGGAAACACATCATAAAACTAGAGAACATACTTTTGTGGAAGACTAGCACAACACCTAGATGTACTGTACAGACACTACCCGGCTAAAAAGTCAAAACACAAAAATAACAAAAAGAAACGAAGTGCAACTTCATGCAAAATTCACTGAGCTGGAATTGGAAAAATATAACTCTGCTGAAAGCATAGCTAAGCATACAGATCACCGCTATGTGAGTTGTTTACCACGCTGCATCAACAGTCGCTTGTTCATGGACTTGAGAGCCCGGAGCCGCAGCCGCTGCTCCTCTTTCTCCATATCAATGTCAACATCGCCATCCTGCTTAGATGGAGCTATGGCACACGTGGCATTAAGCGGGTTTGGCGAATGCGGAGGTTTTGCAACAGCCTTGCTCCCCGCCTCGGGAGATTCAGGCTTCGCGGACGACTCAGCAATTGTCTTGGGAGCAACGGCAGGTGACGATGTTTCCACAGATGCCTTAGTCACAGGAGCAACGGCAGGTGACAGCGCTTTCACGGGTGCTTTAGTAACAGGAGCAACAGCAGGTGACGACGTTTTCACAGACGCCTTAATAGTAGGAGCAACGGCAGGCGATGACGTTTTCACAGACGCCTTAATAGTAGGAGCAACGGCAGGTGATGACGCTTTCATGGGCGCTTGAGTAACAGGAGCAGCGGTAGGTGATGACGTTTTCACGGGTACCTTAGTAACATGAGCAACAGCAGGTGACAATGTTTCCACAGGTGCCTTAGTAATATCACTGGAGTTAGCGGTAGGAGGTCCTGCTTTAGGTGGTGACTTGGTTACCTTGGTGACAGCAGGCGGCGACACTGTCTTGCTCACTGGCTTAGTAATTTCATCGGCCGTCGCAGAGTGAGATGCTGGTTCAGTGGGCGATTTCGTTATTTCGGTTACAGCAGCTGGTGATATAGTCTCGGTTACTGGCTTAGGAGTAGCATCGGCTGATGCAGATGCAACTACTGACTTGACAGCAGCCGCCTCCGGCAGCTTGCGCTTTATTCGACCAGGATTGATAGTGACTAGTCTGGCCGGCTTGGTCACGACGCTGGCTGGTCGTTTCCTGTACCTGTACTCCGGACTCCTCTCCGGAGAGGACGTAATGACCACTATATCATCCGGGGTGACTACAGCGGCAGCAGCAGCAGCAGCAGCAGCAGTAGGTACAGGTACAGGTGCACTGTCGACAGACTTCTTCCTAGTGGATGCTTTACTGCTCCTCCTGCTGCTGCTGGAAGTGGAGGTAGATAGCTTTGGTATCTTGGCTGGTGACTCAAGTGTTGCCCTGGCATTGGCTAGTTCTGTCTCGAGCTCTCTCCGCCGCCTCTGCAGCTCGGCTAGACTCATGCCATCTGGCGTGCACATCTGGCTGGTACTGTCAGGTGTCACGGCCACTGTCTTTGCCAGCGAGTCGTCATCGAACATGTTTTCACCGACCATTATCTCCACCAGCGGGCATTCACCACCCTCGTCCAATGACTGTGCTGGAGCTGCTGACGCCGCCGCTGCTGCTGGTGCAGCAGTGGTCTTTTGCGGTGAAGATGGCATGGCAGCATGTGAAATCGGGTCTTCGGTAATCACAGAATCAACCATCGGCGAATCTACCTCAGTATCCTGCACGGGCGGAGCCGTGTTCAGGGGCTCGATACCAAGCTCCTCTTCAGCGAACAAGCGACCTTCCTCAATGACAGCTCGGATCTGCTCGTCACTCAACGTCTTGATTTGGTCGCAGCACAACTCCTTGACCTTGACCAGAGAGACGCCCTGCAAAAGTGAGGGTTGCAAAACAAGAGAATCAAGCCCGTAGCATGGTGAGATACTCTTAGAAGGACCACAACGAGCACTGAAGACTATGGAATACAAGACTGGCCATCAACAGTACTGTATCTACTACCCTATGGGAAAGCCTGTTGACTACGCTAGTGAAATAGAAAATGAAGTTGAAGACTCCACTGCAGCTCTACTTATGGTTGATTCATATGGCGGTAAATAGTAAATACACAGGCGGCGATATGGCGGTAAGTACACGTGTTCAGGTGATTCTACTCTCTCATGCATTCAGTGTTATAATTACTATCCAGCTCTGTCCGACTTGTGTTCAGTTGCCTGCATGCTCCAGTTTGTGTTTGTCTAGGATCTGCTGTGTGCGTTTCATCTCTCTGTTATGTCTGTAGTGATCTTGTGTCTTGGTGCCTGAGGCGCGCTTGCTGTCACGCATTCATGTATTCATGCTCTGATGTCTAGACTTTCACTTTGCTGCGTGCGCGGCGTACGTGCGCGTGCGCTGCGTGCGTGTGCCGGCTCCTTTCCCGTGTATCTATGCATTATGTTGCTACACTACAGTTCCGGCTTATAGTTCCGTTTTGACTTTAGTTTTCTCAGCTGTTGCTGTTGTTGTGCTTTTTAGTTGTTTTCAAGTCAGATTCCTTTTTCCTTCTCTGTTGTTGCTCATGATTATCAAGACTGTAAAAGTATGGAAGTAAGACAATAACTCCAGTGTGAGTTTATGAGCTATTGTTGGTAGTTTGGGTGCTTGCATCCAAACATCTGGTCCTTCGAGCCGGATCAGTGGATCCGAATCGGTTCGAGAGTTGTCATTTCGTAGATCTACCAGTGCAGTGATTAGAGAAATGGCGGAACCTAGAAAAAGTAGCAGGAGCACGAAAGGTGTTCCCCCAGTAAGGTTCAGAGAGCCTGAGGCAGAGCTAGACGATACGAAGAGTAGTGTCTCTTCCCTGACATCGTCCGCTTCCTCTACTGCTTCCAGGCGTCGCAGAGCGGAGTTGAAGGCGGCGGTGCAGCTAGCAAAGCTGGAGCAGGAGTTTGAAGTCCAGCAGCTCAAGCGACAGAAAAGAATCCTGCCGCTGGAGCTAGACGCCGAGTTGGCTTCCATTGAAGGACACGAACTAGAGTCAGAGGGACGTCCGGAGGAGACGGAGCCGTCCACTGACGCGTCATTTCAGACCTGCGCTGAGAGCCTGGCGTTGTTTGCGGGGAAGATGGCGGCGTCTGATGATGAGACTGACGATGACGACCAGGCAGTCACGGAGCGAAGCGTCTCCGCTGGTCATCCCGCTGCAGGTTTTGTAGCTCAAGCGTTCAAAACCGACGACCGGTTGAACGGGGAGCTCAAGTCTGAGACTCTCCAGAGCCGTGGCGTTTCTCGCCTTGATGGAGATGGCTCCACCGCAGACAAAGCGACCGAACAGCAGGACAGCGTTCCTGCTGAAACACAAGTGTCCACCCCTGTCGGTGTTGACAGGACGCCAGCTCCGGTCGCTGTAGGGCTTGACAAGCCTAGTGGTAGTAGTACGGAGATTACTCCAGTAGTACAAGGTCATTTGGGAAGATCGTGGCCTCAGGCAGCTTCAGATACAGCACGTGGAAAAGCTGACAGAGTGAGCAGCTGGGTACAGGGCGTTCAGAGTGCACCCTTCAGTGGTATCAGCCAACATCAGATCCAGCCACTGGAACTACCCAAGTTTGATGGTTCACAGAAGAACTACATCAGGTGGAGGCAGAAGTTTCTGAGGCTGGTGGACGACGACCACATGGTCTCAGAAGATTACAAGATGGCCCGTCTAAGGGAAGCTCTAGAAGGTGGCACGGCAGATGACCTGATTGCGGATCTGCTGGATGGCCCTGGCGCATACAGCGCTGCGCTCAAGGAGCTAGATGAGTGGTATGGGAGTAATGACCGCGAGCTCGAGCGCCAACAGCAGGAACTTCTAGCACTTCCACGGATCACCTCAGAAAGAGACTCCGACAAGCTGCAGCAGTTGGCCGTCAGACTGCGGAATGTTCTGTTGAACATGTCAACTGCCAGTTTAACACCAGGCCGTGATCTTTACATCGCAATCACGCAGAAGCTTCCCCGCGGGATGTTGACGAGGTTTGTCGAGTCTCATGACGATTCTTTAACGAACGTGAAGACACTATCCACCTGGTTGATGAAGCGAGTGCACACCCTGCGTCAAGTTGATGCCAGGCTGACCGAGTCTGACCAAGATCAGAAGAAGCCTGCACTGTCCAAGCCACCGCAGCGTCCAGCTCAGAACCGACCATGGAACCCCAGGGGGGCGGAGCGATCGTATGCTGCCGGTCCCCCCAAGCAGAGTGCACAGTGCCTGAAGTGCAGCGGCAGTCACCCCCTGGAGCGGTGTCCTGCCTTTGAGAAGATGTCTGTCCCTGATCGCTGGCAGCTAGTCAAGAGCAGTAGTCTGTGCATCTGCTGTTTCCGGCCCGGGCACAGAGCGTACAAGTGTGACACCGGCAAGTGTACGGTCTGTCAGAAGACGCATCATGCTATGCTGCACATAGAGCAAAAAGGGAGCGCTTCCAACACACGCACCACCGCAGGAGCGTCCGCCAACGGCACGCCTACAAGCGAGAAGGTGACCTACCATGCCAGTGCAGACTCAGTCCTGCACCCGTCTAGCAGCACAACGTTCATCGATGATGGGATCTCATTCATGACTGTGCCAGTATTGCTGAAGAACGAGGACCGAGTGGTCGAGTGTACTGCTCTCTTCGACTCTGGGTCGACAGCCAGCTACATCCAGAAGGACGTTGCAGATCTTCTTGGCATCCAGCCAGCATCGCAACCACTGAAGGTCCAGACGCTAGGAGGGAACAGCGTCAGCACAGATGCAACCCAGTCGACAGTCACCATCTCCAGCATCGACGGGAGCTATGTTTCCTCATTGAACGCTTGGGTCTTGCCACAGGTAACTGGAGACTCCAACATCATCGAGTGGCACGCGCGCAAGAGTAGTTGGGACCACCTACGAGAGATCGACTTCCCAGTCTCCCATAGTAAGAAGATTGGTATCCTCATCGGCCTCAATGCTACGCCGCTCCACAAGGCTCTGGAGGAGAGATGTGGCCCACCCGGCAGTCCAGTGGCACGACTCACCCCGCTCGGTTGGGTGTGCTACGGCCCGACATCAGCTCAGGCTGACCCAGCTCGTGTGGCCACCCATTGTGCTGTCCGTCTACCGAGTGACAGCGTGGAGCAGGCGGACGATCGCTTGGACGACCTGGTGAAAGACTTATGGAATGTCGAGAGTGTCGGTCTCGGAGTCAGCCCAACGTACCGAACGCCAGCCGAACAGGAAGCAGAAGCCATGACGACCGCGACCTTGTCGTATAGCGGTGGGCGGTACTGTGTCGGCATCCCATGGCGCAGCGCGGATGGCCCGAAGGTGCGGAACAACCGGCCAATGGCAGAGCGCCGTCTCCGTAGCCAAGAAAGAAGTCTTGAACAGAAGCCGCACATCGCGGCAGAGTACAACCGCGTCCTTGTATCGCACATGGCAAAAGGGTACATTAGGCAAGTGCCAGCAGAAGAGGTAGCTGCGGATGGAGAAGATCAGTGGTTCGTTCCGCACTTCCCCATCGTTCGCCAAGACAAGGTCACCACCAAGGTGCGGGTGGTGTTCGACGCGGCCGTCTCTTGGAGTGGATGTAACCTCAACGAGGAGATGCACGCAGGCCCACCACTGCAGAGCGACCTTGTACACATCCTGCTACGGTTTTGTATGGAGCCAGTGGCAATCGTCGCCGACATCAGCGAGATGTTCCTTCAAGTTGGCCTCCGGCCAGACGACAGGAAGTACACCAGATTCCTGTGGCGAAAGGACAACAACAGCGAGCCCGAAGTCTTTGAGTTCAACAGACTGATTTTCGGGATGAAGGCATCGCCCTACCTCGCCACCAGAGCGTTGCGACAAACGGCGGAGGATTTCTCCAGCAGTGACCGAGACGACAGCATCGACATTCCAGCGCTGGTCAACAAGGCTTTCTACGTCGATGATCTTCTACACGCTACCCAGGACGAGTCCCAGGCAGTAGAGATTCAGCAGAAGTTGGACGCAACACTCAGCAAAGGCGGCTTCCACTTGCACAAGTGGCACAGTAATTCAGCAGCCGTGCTCGACGCTATCCCACCAGCAGACAGAGCACCCCAAGCCCAGGTCATGTTAGAAGACGCGGCTTGCAACGCACCGCCTGTTTCCAAGACTCTTGGAGTGACCTGGATGGCAGACAAGGATCAGTTCACGTTTGTGTATAACGCGCCAGCCGAGGACTATGCCATCACGAAGAGATCGGTCCTGCGGAAGATGGCGACGATCTTTGACCCGCGCGGCCAGCTGCTACCGTTCACCATCAGAGCGCGGATCCTGTTTCAAGAGGCCTGTATTGCCGGCCATGGTTGGGATGACCCTCTCAGCACAACAAAGGTGAAGAAGTGGAAGACGTGGTTCGCGGAGCTACCGGACCTCACCTCAGTGTCAGTTGATCGTTGCTTCAAGCTTGCAGGAGCACTCCCACAACCATGTGCCACTGAGGTTCACACCTTCACGGACGCGTCCGATGCAGCGTTCGCTGCGGCATCGTATGTGCGAGTCACCTACCCAGACGGACAAGTGAAGGTCACGCTGTGCATGGCAAAGAGTCGTCCAACGCCAATCAAGAAGATGTCAATTCCGAAGCTCGAGTTGAAGGCAGCGGCCCTGGGCGTACGTTTGAGCACGGAGGTCGCCACAGCTCTTGACATCCCAGTAGCGCACCACTTCTTCTGGACGGACAACATGAATGTTCTGTTCTGGGTGCGTTCTCACAGTCGCAAGTTCGCCACAGACGTCGGTGTGAAGATAGCGGAGATCCAGACAGTGACCTCTGGTAAGCAGTGGCAGCATGTGCCCGGCAAGTCAAACCCAGCAGACCTCCCAACACGCGGAATGACAGCTTCAAGTCTCGCAGCGTGTGACGAGTGGTGGCAAGGCCCGAGTTTCTTGCAAGCGCCGCCGTCAGAATGGCCGAACCGTGACATCGTTGTGCCGACGAATTTGCCTGGAGAAACCAAGCGCCACCAAGCATCGTCCCTGCTAGCCACCGGTCCGAGCATTGACCGCCTCCAACCAGATCGATACAGTTCCTGGATTCGCCTGAAGCGTGTCACTGCGTGGTGCAGAAGGTTCTTTCGGCACGCCAGCAAAGGGAAATGCTGCAGGCAGGACACACCGCAGACTGGAGGATCGGCAGCGGTGGAAGGCACCATGGTGTCCCTCGAATACCAGCGTACGAGAAAACCGCAGAAGTTTCTCGTGCAGCCCCTCACAGTTACTGAACTGGAGTCAGCTGAAGATGTGTGGTTCGCTAAGGCTCAGCAAGACGAGTTCAATGAGACGATTGAAGCGTGTAGAAGTCAGCGGCCCATCCCGGCGTCAAGTCCACTGCTACGCCTACAACCGGTTCTGGATGACAGCAACCCTCAGCTACTGCGGATGGACGGCAGGTTGAGCACGGCACATCACCTTCCCAGCAGCCTTCGTAGGCCCGTCATTCTGCCAACGAAGCATCCGGTCACAGCCCTTGTAATCGCTCATGAGGATGCGGCTCACAATCACACTGCTGGCGTCAACCACCTGTTGTCGACCCTGAACTCGAAGTTCTGGATTGTACATGGCCCAGCGGCAGTGAAAAGGCACCGGAGCCAGTGTACGGCCTGCAAGAAGATTTGGGCAAAGCCTGCTCAACAGCTGATGGCACCACTACCCGACTTCCGCACCGAGGAGCCTTTCAGAGCTTTCAGTCGGGTGGGCGTGGATTACGCCGGACCCTTTCTGACGAAGCAAGGGAGAGGAAGAAGTCGAGCAAAGCGCTATCTCTGCTTGATGACGTGTCTTCAGAGCAGAGCAGTTCATCTTGAGATGGCGTATGGCTTGGACACGGAGAGCTTTCTGCTGGCATTCACCAGGTTCGCGAAGAGAAGAGGTGTACCGGATCTCGTCGTGTCCGACAATGGTACCAACTTTGTGTCAGCCGAGCGTGAGCTACGAGAAGCCATCGAAAGCCTCAAGAACAGCCAGATTGCCGCTACCATGGCCTGCAAAGGCGTGGAGTGGAGGTTCAATCCGCCACGCTCACCGCATCACGGCGGGGTCTTCGAAGCAATGGTCAAGTGTGCCAAGAGAGCGTTGGTCGGCATCTTGCACAATGCTGTGTGTTCTGATGAGGAGCTCCAGACTGCCTTCACCACTGTTGAGGCTCAGCTCAATCGTCGACCTCTAACGGCCCAGAGTGGAGATGGACAAGACCCGGAGCCGCTAACACCCTCGCACTTTCTAGCGGGATCGACGACCGTGATGACCGCGGTCGAGGAAGATGGCCAGGCGTACCACCTCAAAGCCTGGAGGGTGTTGCAGAGCTGTTTAGCCGCGGTCTGGAAGCGCTGGCTACAAGAGATGGTCCCAAAGTTGAACATACGTCAACGATGGCAGAAGAGCCTTCCCAACATCCGGATTGGAGACGTGGTGCTTGTCCTGGACGCGCACACTCCTCGCGGCCAGTGGCCCCTCGGGAGGATCGAAGCGATCTACCCAGGCACCGACGGAAGAACACGTGTTGTCGATGTGAAGGTGAAAGGGAAGCAATACCGCCGACCTATCACTGTGCTCATCCCGATAGATGCGGTGCGCACTCCCTGAGCAGAAGAGTTACGGCAGCTATTGCGTTTTGCACCACTCATTAGGTATGACAATCTGTGCTGTGTGCATGATACTTGTTAAGTCTGATAGAAGGCTATAGAACTAACTTTAGGGTCATTCTTATTCCGCTGTAGAGAAGATTACGCTCTACCTCTCTTGTTTACGCTCTACTTCTTTGTTGCTTGTTCGTGAAGCTACAGACGATTAGTACATTGCGATTTAGAGTGTTTTCGTTCCCATTCTGCTTATGGTCCCTCAAGGAGGGGGTGATGTTCAGGTGATTCTACTCTCTCATGCATTCAGTGTTATAATTACTATCCAGCTCTGTCCGACTTGTGTTCAGTTGCCTGCATGCTCCAGTTTGTGTTTGTCTAGGATCTGCTGTGTGCGTTTCATCTCTCTGTTATGTCTGTAGTGATCTTGTGTCTTGGTGCCTGAGGCGCGCTTGCTGTCACGCATTCATGTATTCATGCTCTGATGTCTAGACTTTCACTTTGCTGCGTGCGCGGCGTACGTGCGCGTGCGCTGCGTGCGTGTGCCGGCTCCTTTCCCGTGTATCTATGCATTATGTTGCTACACTACAGTTCCGGCTTATAGTTCCGTTTTGACTTTAGTTTTCTCAGCTGTTGCTGTTGTTGTGCTTTTTAGTTGTTTTCAAGTCAGATTCCTTTTTCCTTCTCTGTTGTTGCTCATGATTATCAAGACTGTAAAAGTATGGAAGTAAGACAATAACTCCAGTGTGAGTTTATGAGCTATTGTTGGTAGTTTGGGTGCTTGCATCCAAACAACACGCCTGCCCATACACGCTCTCTAAGCTGCAACATTACTCTGGCACTCAACTCTCCTTCTCACCACCACCATCACCACCATCAGTTTGCGCATGGTGCCTAGTCGACGCATGGTTAGTGGTATCCGACATAGCAGGCTGGTACATCAGGTAGCGCATGGCGCGTAGCAGATGACACAGCAACCATATAGCTCGATTGCGACGTACGTTTCGTCCCCGCTGGACTCATCAGGCAACCTTCTTCTTGGATGTCTTCACACGGAGCTTGACTCGGGAGAATCAATCGAAATCGAGCTATGTCGCTGCTGTGTCATCATCTGGCACAATTCTAGCTAAACGATGCCCCAATAGACTAGGGGCTGCGGGAGCTTGATAAAGATAAATACCAACAACGATTCGGCTTTAGATGTTGAATTTTGAGATGGGGGATAAGAGCATACAGAACACAAGCCTTGTTCCACAAGTGGGCACATTCAATATAACCCTTAAGTTAGGCCTTAGCACAAGTCTGAGTAAACAAGTTTCAAAAAAGCCAGGAAGACCTACCTGCAGTGGTTTCGGCAGCATTCGATCAACCGCAATTGCCGACAGGGCTGAAAAGGCTTCCTGCACCATCCGCTTGCGGTCATGCAGGTAGTGTATGAGAGTTCGCGGACGAGACTCATCGTCGAATGCGGGCTGGCCAGAAGCCACTGGCCGTGCGGTTAGCCCAGTCGCTGCAGAGCTTGGCACTTCTTCAGCAACGTTCGCTGAAGACGACGTAGTAGACAAGGACGGGGTGGGCTCAGCAACAGTCTTGGTCACAGTTGCCAGAGGCAAAACAGCAGCTGCAGCAGCAGCAGCATTATTGTCCGCTGCCTTTGTCGCAGCCTTGTTTTCTTTGTCCTTGTGAGCTGCTGCCGACCCATGATGACGGTGGTGGTCTTTGTGACCATCAGACGAACGCTTTCCATTCTGCTGGTGATGTCGGCCATGTCTGTCTTTGCGCTCTTCACTCCGCTCCCGATGTCTGTGTGAAGACTTGGATGAGTGACTGCGGTGGCGGTGGCGTTTTTTCCGCTCATCCTGCTGTGGAGACCTGGACCGGCTGCTTCTGGAGAACAGAATGAATACAAAAGTGCAGGAAAAACAAACAAAAAAAACAGCAGGTTTTTGCAGAACAGAAATTTCGCTTAGCCAGTGACAGTGATGCTACATTTATACAGCCTCGCTATAACTTAGTTAGAACCGATAATGGGCAAAGCTGTCGTATCTAGGCCACTATGCTGCCCATGAACTTACTCACGTTATCAAATACTGCTAACCATCCAATATTCATGCCACTAAATGTTCGCGGTTTTTCAGAACCAGCAAGTTAACAATGGCATACACTCACTATTGAAGTTTTACGTCGCACTGGGCAATATCTGCAATATGCTCTTCTCACAAAGATTGCCAACATGTTTACGTCCCAAGCATCACCCATTTGGCAGCAGCACACCACTTTCAGCCAGCGTGTTGTTGCATCTCTCTCTAGCACAGGCGAAGGAACCCGGCGGCCAAGTCATGGCTTGGATCGAGTGCTGACTTATCATTCATATCGGTCAGGGAAAGCATTGCTTGCTGACGTGATAATTGTCAGCCACAAATGCCCGGGTAACGATCGCATGCTCGATCAAGAGAATAGCACGTGTGACAGCCACTGTGTAGTGAATTTACTAGTGACTGCTCTCCGGCAGCTGGGTACACCATACAGGTACTGTCAAACCTCAGTATAAGGTACCCTGTCACACCACCGCTCCACACCGCGCTCCTGGCCGACCCATTCCACCATTCCACTTGCACATCACCACTACCAATCCACAGCAAGGACAATTCCGTTGAGACAGTGATATTGTAGAACCTCCAGACAACCATTTTGCTCCAACAGAGCTCTTTCGTGGAGGTAGTAGATAATGGATGATTCAGGTGTATGAATGTTATACTGTAAGACCAGATATTTTAACGTCAAGTAAAGTTAACGACCTCCGGATTTTTGTTGGTTAGCGAGGTGAAATTCTAACGGATTCTGTCTCAAAACCGGCAAATGACTGTACATGTACATATCGTTTTGCATATAACGACTTCAAATGTTAACGATTCTTTCAAATTCGTTAACTCAGTAGAATTAAATGTTCGTTAACATTACTGGTCTTACAGTAATTGGCGCGCATTTTTCTGCACAGAATTGTAGCACGCCCTAGGAAACCGAGGTGTTAGGAGATAGCAGTCCGTCCGAACAGTGGTGATAATGCAAGCATGCATTGCTGGGACATTGCAGGTAGCGCTTGGAATGGTGCGAAAAGCAACCAACAGACAGTGCAAGGTACGACTACTGTAGTAGCAACACACATAATACTGTATGAATATTGAGAAGCCACGTTGATATAATCGTACTAGTCCCAGCTGCCTGAGAAGATGTGCAAATGAGCCATTTCCCCATACAGCTACATGTATAACATCATTCATACGCCTGAGTTATCCATTATCGACTACATCCACCGATGAGCTCTGTTGAAGTGAAGCAGCTGTCTGGACGGCCTACAATATCAATATCTCAACAGACTTGTCCTCACTATGGATTTGTGATGATCACGTGCAAGTGGAATGGGTCAGCCGAGAGCGCATTGTGGAGTGACTGACATTTATGCAATGGCTGAGTTTGTCGCTAATTTCTCTTCATATAGCACACTGGATATAACAACATTTTCTCTTTGCACAGGATAAAATGTACTTTATGGAGAACCCTGCATATCCTTTTGCAGTCATTTGACCATCGATACACAGTGTATTGGTTATAAAGTACAGCTTGTTTTACGTTCTCTGGAGGAGCTATGTTATACTTCAGTTTCACTGTACATGTAGTAGTGAAGCACGCGCAGAGTTCAACGCGGTCTGTAAAATAATGTGATGATCAGCGCAGATTGCAAGTGCCTCTCGTGGGTGCCATGCAGTTGCCTTTGCAATGTTTGCATGCTCATGAGTTTTTCCCGTTGTCTGTTATCCTCTGCCCAGAAGTACATCTGAAGCACATGGGAATGCTATGGCTTCTGAGATTCGCAAATCCATTGTAAAAATAGGTTCACCTCGTATCAGAGCACTGCCACTGGCGCCATGGCGTATTTGGTAGGCGCATGAGTGGGCACAACTAGGCCTCCGCGGAATATGCTCGTATTTTTACCGATAATTCCTTTGAGCATTGCTCAAAATTTCGACCAATAATTATTATTCCCGTAATTCCACCAATAATTCTCCAAATGATGCTTTTTTTCTTCCCTTTTTTGCAGATACCGTACCGCGTACGGGTTTTTTTGCCACTTGTCGGGCAAAAAAATCACGGTTCGCGTGAAACTCGGCTGGAAGCTTTTTTTTTCTTTCTTTTTGAAATACTGGGCGATCAACTTCAGGATCACAAGCTTTTTGGTACAAATCAGGGTGTTATAAATGGAAAAAAATGAAAAAGAGGGGCATTGCTCAAATTTTACCGATTATTCCACAAAAATTGCCAATAATTCCCGTTTAAAAAATCACACCGATAATTCCCGAAATTATGCCGGCACATTCCGCGGAGGCCTAGGCACAACCCAACCCAGACTGGGCCAGAGCAAAGCATTTACTTTTCCCCCAAGACGCATTGTACTTCAATATCGTGCATATTAAACTAAACTCATACAAACCAGCTACCTATGCTATGTTTAGCAGAATATGAAAGAAATAGATAGTATCCAAATAAATTCACTGGTTTGAGGGGAAAAAGCACTCACTTTCTTTTACGACGTGGAGACCTCTCACGAGATGATTTCCTTTTCTTAGAGTGGCGGCTCTCGCCACTCTTTCTTTCTTCCATGACTGCTGATCCTCGCGGGAACGACGCAATCGAACAAACAAGTAAACCTCAAAACTCCAGAAGAAGACACACAATCATGTTTGGCCGGCCAACTTTGCAAATATTACTTTGCTTGCGTTGAAGAAACGTTTTCATTTTGTGTAGGTTTCAAAAAAATCACAAGATCGTATCAGTGCGTGATGCAGTCAGTTTTGGTATCCGATGGGACTTCCCCTACTCACCTCTCATTCTCAATCATTACGACATTAGGCCACACTTTGTTAATTCATTGTTTAACGTCCTTTTTTTCGCGAAAAGGTACGCGGGAGGGCGGAAAAAAAACAAAAGCCCATTCCAAAAACTGGAAACCCCAATCAAACATTTTGACCAGTAAAGCATGTGATATATACAAATATTTCTGGGTCTAACGGCACTTGCAGGCATAGAACAACACTCTTTGATGGTACATTGGAGCACATGCCTGATGAATCCAACAAAACAGGTACATAGCATGGAGTTAGCATGTCATGAATTCATTACATCTGGATTTTTACTAGGACACACACCGTACGATATTTAAAAGCCAACAAAAAAAGAAAAAGAACACAAGACAAAGGCATGCCCGGGAGGCAAGATTATAAGTTTAAGGTCATGATCGGCACACTGTGAAACTACACAATCATGTATTTACAACTTCGCATATTATTGGTACTATAGTACTACTACTTTCTTGTTTTTTTTTCCGGTCGGAGGCAAAAAGGTAAGCGGGCGCGGACGTTAAACAACGAAAAAAGAAAGGGTGGCCTTATCTCAAAATCAAATCAAGACCGGGCTACAGAACTGCTAGTGCAGCAACCGGCAATCTGTGCAGGGCCCGGGCGGGCACACGTATTCATCGGGGGTAGGTTTACCATGTGGCATGTCTGTGTAGCAAGAAGGAGCCACGGGTACGTGTGATCCCCAGTAGCCTAACCAGTAGGCAGTAGGGCAATGCCGCATTGTCCCGGAAAGAGTGGGGTCCTGTGGGTTAGTAATCCCACTCGTGGAATGGTGCCTGCCTGGCAATGGCTCGAACCAGGGAGTAGTAAACACGTATTTTACTACTTACTCACTGACTCAAGCCCGCGACCCACAGCCCCCCCCCCCCCCCCCCCCAGTCTACCATGGTCTCCTTGCCAGTTGTAGTGGCCCCTGATCAGGCGTTGCATTCCATGGCGGCCGATCACGCACACACACACACACGCACACACACCATTGGACGCCCATCGCCGGAGGCGATGATAGCGATGCTACAGCAGAAGCCATAGCAGCTTGTGCTGGGATTGCACCATTCAACAGGTTGCAAGGCTGAAGAATTGACCGCCACTATTCAGCCTGGTCTACACCACGCAGCTATGAAGTGGCTTTTTCTGGTCAGTGAATCCCTACTTTTTGGTCTTTTCATTTTTTTCACACACACACACACGTACACACACACACACATACACACACATACACGCACACACACACACACATACACACACATACACGCACACACACATGCACACACACCACGCACCAGCGCTTGGTTTGCCATTTCACTTGTTTTACGTCGCAGTTGATATATCGGGATTCTACAGAATAAATATGAATGCCGAGACGTACTCTTGGTGCAATGGAGTCGGTCTGTATCGGACAAGGCTCCTGGCAGTCCGGTACAAGATGCGACTCCAGACCTACAAGGCAGTGGTAGCAAATGTAGCATGACTTGCACGGCAAGAAATGAAAAAAAGAAAAGAGGCAACGTCGGCACTTCAAAAAGAAGTACACATAAAAGCAAAAGTGCATGATGCGCTGGTACATCAAATTACCAAGCAAGCTGCATGTCAAGGAGAGGAGGATTAGATCTGTGCAGAACCAGTGTGGATTTATAAGTTAACATTTCATGATGCAGCCAGTGCGATCATTTATATGATGTAAGAAAGTACATAGTGATATGAAAACTACTGCTAAGAAGTATGGTGTCAAGAATGTGGACGGCGGAAGTTATAAAAAATCGACTCTGAGGCAAACGACTCGGAGCGTCAACACGGTGAACTGGCTTCAAGAACAACTCTAAGCCCTAGTCTCCATCACTATCATCTGTGTCGCTCATTTCTAAGTCACTGGAAAGATTACCTGATGTCTGTCTATTGAGTGCTGGTGGTGGCGGCATAGCGGATTGAGCGGAGGCAGATGACATATACGATTGATCAATTTTCTGATCCAACTGGCCGGCAAGATCATCGGAGTCATCAGATGAGCTGCTATCGTCGTCCGATGAATCTCCACCACTATTGCTGCTGGATGAGCTGGAGTTGTCCGAGTCACTGTCACTGCCGCTACTACTACTATCACTGCTACTTCCACTGCTGCTTAGCTGCTGTTGGGGTTGAGCCATGGTTGGAACACGGATAGACTGGCTGGCAAGGGAGGACATGGCCACGGCAGCGGGCACCCTCGGCTGTGACATGGGTGACTCGTTTCCCGTCACAAAGTCACAGTCGTCATCACTCTCTTCGTCATCGGCCAGGGGCGCAGCATCATGAGCGGGAACTGGACGCTTCGCCGGCGGCATAAAGTCATTCTCATCTCCATCCAGCAGTGAAGACTTGGAGTTGTCTCCGGGCCCGCCTTTGACCGCTGCTCCACGCGCTCGCTTCACGCGAACGTTACTCCATATCCTTTCTAGGACGATACTGCCATCGGGCTCAATGATCATGACACAGTCCTTTGTTGTGAGCTGCGTCGATCCCCGGTACTCAGACTGCGGTGTTGTGAACTTCATTGTCACCGAACGATCGCTGCCCACCTCCACGGAGCCTGGCCGACGTGAGGAAAACGATGCCGGCTTGAAGTCATACTGTACCTTGTGATAGGAGAGCGAGGAAGACTGCAAGAAGCTGTCACCGAGACGCACCTGCACTTCTCTTCCGATGGGCAATGGGATAGGCGCAGAGGCCTTAGAGCTCATAGTCAACCGCCGCACACCAAAGACGCTGCGTCACTGCCACCTGAAGCGGAACAACAGGATTGCACAGAAAGTGGATTGGGTTGGAGGGAGGCACACGCCACGGCCAGTATAGGAAAATCATTGATATGCAGACTCAAATCAAACAGATTTTCCAGCATTACTGGCATTGTCATGCAGAGCCGGGTAAATTAGCAGAGGAAGTAAATGTTGTACAAGTCATGTATCTGGATGGGCTGACACGAGTATCAGACTGTCCCACAAGAAAGTACATGGCGATCCCGTGCACCGGCACTCCACCATCGCTGTAGACTTCTGCAGAGATCCAGGTTTGATAGATGACTAACACCTGCTAGGGTACCCTTACATAATATCCATATCCTGCACACCAGCTATAACCTACCCGGTAAGTTTACGGCACTTACAGGCCACTTTCTTGTTCATAATTGAGGCAGGTAGTCCATTCAGAAAAATAACCTCATCTAACTTTTGACAACTGGGTCAAAGGTGTGGTCATCCCATAAGCGCTTGTGAAATCATTTCCAAGTCCACCCAGAGTTTGGAGATTTCAGGGGGTGGTCGGCCGTTGAGAGGTTCAATAGCCAATTGAGTCATCTTTCCAAGATTCCTTTTGAATCGCTCCCCTCTCTCCCAGGTAGACACACGCAACTAGTTTCTGGTAGTGAGCAAGTACAAGTGTGTGTGTGTGTGTGTGTGTGTGTGTGTGTGTGTGTGTGTGTGTGTGCGTGTGTGTGTGTGTATGTGTGTGTGTGTGTGTGTATGTGTGTGTGTGTGTGGTGGTCAATTCATTAGCCTTGCAAGCTGTTGAATGGTGTAATCCCAGCACAAGTTGCTATGTCTAACATAGCTGTTCGCTATCATCGCTTCCGCGATGGGCATGTCTGAGGTCTGAGGTCTGAGGTGTGTGTGTGTGTGTGGTGTGTCATAGCTGTGTGGTGTAGACCAGGCTGAATAGTGGCGGCCAACTCTTCAGCCTTGCAAGCTGTTGAATGGTGCAACCCCAGCACAAGTTGCTATGGCTTCTGCTGTAGCATTGCTATCATCGCCTCCGGCGATGGGCGTCCAATGGTCCAATGGTGTGGTGTGTGTGCGTGTGTGTGCGCGCGTGTGTGTGTGTGTGTGCGTGTGTGTGCGTCAGAACGAGGAGCAGAGAATATGCTAACCAACCTATCTAAAAGTACATGTGTCCAGGGACTAGGAATAGGATTTCGCCACAAGACAAATTACGGTATAATACCTGTATCGGTGATTAGTAGCGATTTGTAGCCCTTTGTTCAAATACTCCTGGAGTGGCCTGCAATATCCTCCGCAAAGTAACGCGAACACATGTGCTGGAACATTAGAAAATAAGATACTATTCCCTCGCACAATAAACACAGCTATTACTACAATACATTGCCTTCTCTAACACGTCGCGATTATGCTACAAACAAAATTTAATTATCTTCAAGACAAAAACAATCAAGGCCTAATTATTTTCTCCACAACTCAAGCCACAAATCAAAAAGTCAACGAAGATTTTGATTTCGATCTCGGGCAGCAGCACCGCGCCGCGGCGACCCGTCAGCGCGTGACCATGGACACTGAAATGGCGATATAGAACGCTTGAAAGCTCGAGAAAGTGCTGAATCGACGTCGACCCAGCCCTGTAAAAAAAAGATTGAAGAGAGAATTTCTTTCCGAATATTTTCAAGAAGTCGACTCGACTGATCGAGATATACTTCTCCGAAACTCATGATCCGTCTGTACGAGTGCTGAGGATCTCGGAAGAGGAGACCACCATGTCTCGGTATATTAGCTTGGTGGCGGCAGTATCAGTGCTGGGACTTATTGCCTGCTGCTCAGCTGATGGTGACGGCGTAAAGCCCATTACAGCTGTTTTGGACGCTAATTGGCGTTCAAGCCCTCTGCTGCTAGAAATCAGGTACGTTTCACAGCCTTGTTCCGATTCACACCAGGCCTAATTCACACGTCCATTTTCCAAACAGCCATACCGCTACCATACATGACTCGAGATGTAAGAACCAAGAGCAATTTCAAGGATTAGATAGTGTACAGTTTGGAATGATGACGTGTTCGTTTGTCTAATTTCAAAATTGGCTGGATCAAGACAATGGAAACACGTTTGCAATGCATTGTACTTCATCGCCACTTGACATGTAGAAATGGAGGGAAAGCCAGAATTTTACCACCACACCACACCACACGTTCTATAAAGGCGTCATCATGAAAGTTGTATTCGTCGTCCCTGAAACGAACACAGTTCTTTGTAGGCTGGGTTCGAGGCAAAGTCACAAATCAACTGACATACGTATACATATACGTGTCACTAAGACATGATTGTGTTGACTTGTGATTCACGTGGTCAGGCGTGGCAGGCACAGTTCTTTTTTTATCGGGGGACGATGTAAACTGTTATGCCCCCTGTGTGGAGCATTGTGACTGGAAATGACACTATTACCAATAGATGTCTACATGTGTACGCATTCACTCAAGTACCTGTTTAGATTAGTTTTATTCCAAGCAATACATGGCTGGGGTAGCCAATGACCACCCTGCGTGGCAATTGCAGGGTTTTTATAGCCAACTACGGCTATACAGTTCAAAGTAAGGTACACATACTGGTCCGGTGCGGCTGGTACAGTAACATACCGTATAACTACTGGGTGTACACCTAGACAAACCGTTGGCTGGATTGGACTGCCAGTTTTCGATTACCAACCCATCTACACCCACGTACAGTACATGTAACGGATTAAGATTTTACCTTGACACATACCTACGGAACTCCCTCGGTTTAGGCTAAGGCCTGTGGAGAATCCATACATACAAATACAATACAATACACAGATGGAGAACCAAGGATTGAAATTATAAACAGAGGACCGAAGGTTTAAAAGCGCATAACTTGTAAACCTTTGGTCCTCTCTTTTTAATTACAGTACAATACAAAAACTGTATTCTGAACACGGCTGGTGATTGGTTGGGCTAAATTCCAGCTGATTCCCTGCTGCATGAGCTAGATGGACTCCGTGCACCATTCAATGCAGGTTTTCATCATTGTTTCTTATAATAAGATGCCAGAGGACAGACAGTGAGAACCCTGGACAACTGGGCAACGCTGACCGAATTAAACGTAGTAGCCTTCCTTAGTTTGAATCTTACTACAACCGAGGGCAGCTGCCTTGTTCTAGATTGCTGACCTCCTCTCTCTATCTCTCTCTCTCTCTCTCTCTCTCTCTCTCTCTCTCTCTCTCTCTCTCTCTCTCTCTCTCTCTCTCTCTCTCTCTCTCTCTCTCTCTCTCTCTCTCTCTCTCTCTCTCTCTCTCTCTCTCTCTCTCTCTCCCTCCCTCCCTCTCTCCCTCCCTCCCTCTCTCCCTCCCTCCCTCCCTCCCTCCCTCCCTCCCTCCCTCCCTCCCTCCCTCCCTCTCTCTCTCTCTCTCTCTCTCTCTCTCTCTCTCTCTCTCTCTCTCTCTCTCTCTCTCTCTCTCTCTCTCTCTCTCTCTCTCTCTCTCTCTCTCTCTCTCTCTCTCTCTCTCTCTCTCTCTCTCTCTCTCTCTCTCTCTCTCTCTCTCTCTCTCTCTCTCTCTCTCTCTCTCTCTCTCTTGTTCTCTGCAGTGAATTTGCTGCATCAGAATCCAATGCATCATTCTGGTCCTTCGTTGATGCTGCCGTTGATGCCAGCATTGCCTCAGACAAAGGTTAGATATTTGGCATTATTCGAGACATTTGCGCCTGTTGTGTGCTAGTAGTGTGTGTGTACGCACGTGAACAGTTACAGATAGCCAATACTCAAATATGGTGTTGCCATAGTGATACTGCCCAACAGGGTACCTGTGTCACCTGTGGACAATTCCCCGAACCTGATACCCGTAGAAAAGGCTACCCCACCGACCCAACCATTAATTGTGTTGCGGCATGTGCGTGCGTGTGAATGCCACTTTGTTGTTGTTGTGTGCAGATGAGTATGACGACGGTATAGCCATTCTGAAGGCCAGCCTAAGCCAGCTTGACTTTGATCTGCTTCGCTTTGCACTGTCGGTGCGCTTCCACTCGCCAGCTGTGCAGTCATTTCAACAGGTGAGTCTTTATCAGCGTGTAGCTGTAATCTTGTTTGGTGTACCCCGTGAGAACTCCCCAGGGGGAAGCACATTGATAGGGGTGCTGAACAGCTATGATCTGGAGCCAAGTGTTAATCTGAGCATATGGTTATGTTGGACTAAACAGGCTATCGTGTGGACCACATATATGGGCACTGTACGAATGTTCATGTACTCATAGTGATGTGCATGTGCATTGCACTCTATTCTCTCACCTCCGTGAGTGTGCATATGGACAAGGAAGAGAGAGAGAGAGAGAGAGAGAGAGAGAGAGAGAGAGAGAGAGAGAGAGAGAGAGAGAGAGAGAGAGAGAGAGAGAGAGAGAGGGAGGGAGGGTGGGAGAGAGAGAGAGAGTGTATGTGAGAGATAGAGAGAGAGAGAGAGAGTGTGTGTGTGTGTGTGTGTGTGTGTGAGAGAGAGAGAGAGAGCAGGCGCGTACGCAGGGTCACCTCTAGGGGGGTTTCCAACCGAATCACAAAAAACGACTCGTTTTAACCCTTTCTAAAGAGCCCTAGGAAATTTTCAAAATTATGCAATTTTTTCATGTTCTTTGGATCATAACTTCAGTTCTACTCACTCAATCTTCATTATCTTAGGCTTCCTGGAAGTGGAAAGGTACCAGGGAGGGAATGAGGTCGAACATGATAGCCAGGACACAGTATAGCCATGTACATATCCAGCGCTATATGCTATAGCGGTAGAGTGCAGCGACGGTGCGAAAAAAATGCCCCAAACTGGGCCAAAGGCCCAAACGCGCCCTGCTCCAGCGATTTCGTTTTTGTTGATTGCAGAGTTTCAAATTGGTTGCTGTGTGCTCTTGAAAATATCACAAGTGAAGCCCCTGCAAATTTGAGCAAGGCAGCGTGACAAAAGTCTCAAATTCTCGATACTCGAGTCGCACTGCGCGCTTTTGAAATTGCGAGATCGCGGCTCAACTTACGAACGATTTATCTCAGGAGACATTGCTCGCAGCGCGTCGCAAATTGTTTCAACCGACAGCTGAGAGTTTTCTATTCGACCTGGATATTTGGATCGTTGGATTTGAGCCAGATTTGACTGAGTTACGATCTGTTGAAGTTTTGCATTCTTGCCAGATCGATCGTGCGCCCTACCAAAATATGCCCAAAAACGCTGCTCGTTTGGAACATTTGGGGGGGTTTCCGGGCAACGGGAACCCCCCCCCCCCCCCCTGCGTACGCGCCTGGAGAGTGTGTGGGAGAGAGAGAGAGAGAGAGAAAGAGAGAGAGAACGATTTGGAAGTGTTGACGCCCTGCAGTTGGGCGTATGTACGGATGGTTGAGGCATGTGCACGGATATTGGGGCCGTATGCGCGGATATTGGGGCGGTATGCGCGGATATTGGGGCCGTATGCGCGGATATTGGGGCCGTATGCGCGGATATTGGGGCCGTATGTGCGGATATTGGGGCCGTATGCGCGGATATTGGGACCGCATGCGCGGATATTGGGGCCATATGCGCGGATATTGGGATCGTATGCGCGGATATTGGGGCCGTATGCGCGGATATTGGGTGCGTGCTGCGTGCACAGGCTTGTACTGGATAACATGACTGTCACACTTGCAGCGTGACAACCAATCTTTCAAGCCTATTTCTACTGGTGGATTTGCTTTGTTGTTTTGCTAGGATTATTCTTAGCTTGAAGCCTTCTTAGCTTCAAGTTACCACTTCAGAGCGGTGGCTAATTGTCCGAAGGAAATTAGTTGAGTAATGTTGGAGGAAAGAAAAGTGTTTTTGTGGATGAGCATCAGTGTACTGTTGGTGTGTACTCTAGTTTACAGTTGGTCTTTGCTATCCTCTATGCATGAAGAATATTATCAGTTTTATGCTTGGCTGATTGATTGTGTGTGTGTGTGTGTGTGTGTATGTGTGTGTGTGTACGTATGTGTGTACGTTTATGTGTGTGTGTGTGTGTGTGTGTGTGTGTGTGTGTGTGTGTGTGTGTGTGTGTGTGCATGCGTGTGTGCGTGCGTGCGCGCGCATGTGCGTGTGTGTGCACACTCGTACTCGCGCGCGTGCATGCATGCGTGCATGTCACCGTGTTGTGCTAGGTTGCCGAGGAGCACTTGCACGACTCCTCTGCCAAGTCCTGTGAGACGTTTGCGACCGTCAATGGCAAAGATTACTGCTCAGTGTCTGATCTGAAGACGGCCTTGGACACTGCTACCACTGATGGGTATGCTGGCCTGCTTGCTCTTTGTACATGTAGCTGCATGGGCTTCCTACGTCCTACCCTTTTAAATATTCCCCGGGGAGGATTGGCTTGGGAGACACGAGTGCAGAGGTTTCATTTTGAGTGTACCTGCTGAGTGGTGTGGGCAGGCTTGGCAATTGTGATACCTTAGTCCCATTGCATTTGTGGTGGTGGTATCATCAGCCCCGCTGTGACTGTTGCCTTTGGCACGATCACCATCCCATCTGGATTTTGCAACTCGCTGAGTGCACTTGATTGTACGTGTACGGTATTCTTGGCACAGAAGCCAAGAGAAGGACCCTGGTTACTGGTCTGGTGCGCCATAACTTAGGCTTTGCAGGACTTCAAGTTGGTGCCCTCGTCGGCATATGTTACTGCCTTTGATTGCCTGTCTGCATGTGTCTGAACGACGTATGTGGAGAGATGGCTGTGTACACCATCAGTCTACTTACTATGCATGCCCTGTGTGTCCGAGTACAGACAAACTCCCCAGATGTGAGTGGTCTGGGACCGAATGGTGCCTAAATCTCAGCCTGTATGTCAGACTCAGAACACCCCTGCACTATGTGCACAGCCGTTATTCTATTAATCAGCTCTTTCCCAGGGCAATGCGTCCCCCCAAAGTACCCGGTAGACGGACGTGTGCGGGATCCGGGGAGTTGATCTGTACTGTCTGTGTTCTGTGTCACCATGCCTGCCTCTCTAGACTACACACTGTAATTTAAAACTATACTATAGTATAGTGTATACACTGTATTACTGCTATTCTACCCACAGGGAGTCTGAATCAACGTCTCTCTACGACTTTGACCACGTTTACCCGTTCACGTCTGGCGCGCCGGTGACCGCTGTGGTGTATGGCCGGCTGGGGACGGCATCGCTACGCGAGTTCCACGCGCTCCTGAAGCCCCAGGCCAAGGCTGGCGCCGTGCGCTATGTGCTGCGTCACTACGTGCAGCGCGATGTCCTGGAGGCACGCGATCCCCTGCGCATGTCTGGCTACGGTGTAGAGCTGGCTATCAAGAGTACCGAGTACAAAGCTGTGGATGATAGCGCCGTCAAAGAGTCGGGTAGGTGAACAACGTTTTGTGAAAAGACTTGAGCCAGTGATACTCGCATTGTTACCTGTTTTTCTCAATATGTGAAGAACAGATGAAAGCTTGCGCAAGACAATTTTGTCAGCTGTTTTCTATCAATTCTATGTCCCATGCAATTCTGAGTAGGAAATCCAAGGTCTCCACTCTTTCTGGTGCTCTACTGTATGGGTGTACATGTATTTGTTTTAGTTGTTGGGCCTCGCTTTTCTGTGCACTGCATTTGTTTTCATGTAGCCTGATATCATGCCAGTACAACATGTACTCCAAGCAAGTAGCTTATCTACTACCTATTACTACGAAGTCTTCATTAGTGTCGGTTGACACAAGTGTTCTTTCTGCTACTGTGGTGTTCTGTATGTAGATGCTGGATCACCTAGCATGGGAAAGGATGATGAGGATGAAGTGGAAGGCTTCCTCTTCGGTGTTCTCAAGTTAGTATTTTGTTTGTGCTCCGCAGATCGAGGATAGTGAACCAGGAAATTGTGGAATGAGAACAAGCTAGGATCGATAGAGCGTTGCTGTAGACACTGTGTGATGAATGGAGTTGTCACTGTGTGATGAGTGGAGTTGTCACTGTTCAGATATGGACCTAAGCCTCTTTTACGGGCAAAAGAATACTGTAGAGGCAGACAATTTCGTCGGTCAATGATTTCGTCCACCTCCAAAGAAAAGGAGTTCGTCCGGTTGAAAATTTCGCCCATGGATCATAAGAGTATATAGAAACTCTTGACAAATCGATATTCGTCCTACATTTAATTTAGTCCAAAAGCTCCTTGGACGAAAAAGACGAAATTAAATTCCAGACGAATATTTCTGCTTATACAGTACAATTCACGGTGCCATGGTGAAGGATTAGAACACAACACCAACAAAGTTCAGACATGGACTCTTAGTTATGTCTTCTTTATGATTGGATGAAAATGGATCATAAGCTTTTTAGAAACGTGTTTGACAGCTGCTGGTAACCAAGTAATGAAACCAATCACATTGTTGCTTTGTTTGTGTGATTAAATTTTGTCTCCTTACCTCTGTTCAAATGCCATTTTTATATTGTCATTTTTAAATTCACGTTTGCCATTTCTCTGTTGTTTGGGTGGCACCTAGCGAGTGATTCATGTGCTGAGATATATTTCTGTTGCTGATAAAGTAGTTTGTGCCTCTTCCCACAGGAAGCGCTTCCCCGAGGAGCACGAGAATCTGCGCAAGCTGCGCACTCACCTGGTGGAAGGCACCAATGAGATGGCCCCGCTCAAGGTCTGGCAGTTGCAAGGTAGGTCAACAACCCATCGTCTACCCCTGCCCCCCTATGCTATACATCGGCTGTATTGCATATTTTTTAACATGCGTAGACACGGACATAGGATTGACAAGCGGATCATAATTACTGTGTTTTGATACTGTTTGCAACCTGACCAATACTTTCCCCTGCACCGCTCAATCAATGCTTGGATTTGAGGTAATGTTTATAACTGCTCGTCCTCTTTCCATGATGCAGATTTGTCTTACCAAGCGTCTCAGCGTATCCTGAGTTCTGAGCCAACCGATGCTCTGCGTGTGATGCGTGACATCAGTCAGAATATCCCAATGCTTGCCAGGTGAGCAACTAGCATGATTGTTCAACTTCTCACGTGCACAGTCAGGTTGATGCCTTCCTTCTTGTCCACTCTTGCCAGCGGTGTACCGAAGTACTCGGCTTGTACTTTGTAGTGTATTGACAATCTTTATTCTTACCATGATCTGTGTGTGTGTGTGTGTGTGTGTGTGTGTGTGTGTGTGTGTGTGTGTGTGTGTGTGTGTGTGTGTGTGTGTGTGTGTGTGTATCGGCTTTTCGCCTCTCTCCGCAGGTCCCTTTCGAAAACCCGTGTCCCACGTGAAGTTCGCTCTGAAATCACCAGCAACCAGAAGGTATTGTATATTTGCAACTGCCAGTGTCACACTTGACTTTTCTAATCTATATTAGGGTCTGTCAGACTGATCTAATTCATTACTCGGTCATTCAACATACTAGCAGCCCTTGTTTGCACACACGTGCCATGCTGCTGTGCCGCATTCTCCATTATATTTATAAACAACAGTGATGGACGGGCTATTTGATCTGTTGTAATACTATTAACCTTTCTTCTTTTGAATGTATTGATTTTGTTTTTGCTGTTGTTTAGATCCTTGCCAACTATGGTGTGGATGCTGGTTCGTCAGTATTCTTCATCAACGGAATGCTGCTGAGGCTGGATGCCATGGACCCATTCCGGTAGGATTACAGTCAAGCCGGTTATATCCACGGTGCAGTGCACTTTCACTGGTTGCCTATGCCACATGCTGTTGCTGCTGCTGCTGCAGCTGCTGCAGTTTGTATTTGAGTGGGGTCTGCGCCAGGCTGTGGGGGTAGTTTTTTGTTCAGCACCTATGTTCGAAAATAACCTGATGGCATTGGTTGTTGAGTATTTTTTGTGTCTGCTGTGTGCGTGTGTGTGTGTGCGTGCGTGTGTGTGTGTGTGTATCAAGGCTCATTGCTCTACTGAAGTCAGAGGCCAAGGCTATGCACGGACTGTCTTCCATTGGCATCACTGTAAGTCTGATGGTGTCATCAAGTACAGTACAGTACAGCCTGTAATGCAATGTGTGCTAGTGTGCATGCAGTGAAGAACTCACACTGTCATGCAATGTGTGCAACTGTGCATGCAGTGAAGAACTCAGACTGTCATGCTCAACATACTGCAGCTTGTTTCTTGGCAACATCACCTTCTGGAAGTTGCGGGATTTGCTGTCATTACTTCAATTTACTTGTGGTGGAATATTGCTGAGTAGTCCAAAGCGAAGTTTACACCTTGTCAACTAATGCGTTCTATGTTGTTTGTACTGTCCGTGCCTATGCTGCTTGCTTTGTCAGGGTGATGATCTTCAGCGCACCCTAGCTATCTCTGTACACCCCACACAGGGTGGCAAGTATGGTGTGGATATGCGTGGTGATGCAGTACAGGTAAGATGCACACGGATACTGCATGTGGTCGAATGCGTCATCAGCAGCACCAGCATGTGGTTGTTACTAGGAGCTACAGTGCGTGTTGTGGGGACAGTATGAGTTGTGAAGGCTGTTGCTGCTGGCTGTTAGAAACTTTGAGTAGGACATTTGGTTTTGTGCTGCTTTCGAGTGCATGGTAGCTGGAGCCCATACTCATTTGCCATTTGTAAGAATGCGGTCCTTGTCCTATCCAGGGAGGTATGTGTGTGTGTGCTTGCGTGTGTGTGTGTGTGTGTGTGTGTGTGTGTGTTAGAGAGAGAGAGAGAGAGAGAGAGAGAGAGAGAGAGAGAGAGAGAGAGAGAGAGAGAGAGAGAGAGAGAGAGAGAGAGAGAGAGAGAGAGAGAGAGAGAGAGAGAGAGAGAGAGAGAGAGAGAGAGAGAGAGGGGGGGGAGAGAGGGAGAGAGAGAGAGAGTCATTCATATACGTGTTCACTCTTACTGCTGTATTCCTGTGCAGTACATCAATAACGTGGAAGGTGACCAGGAGTATGCCTCATTTACACCATACCTTCAGCAAATGCTTTACGGTGTGCCCGAGGGACATCTGCGTCGCATTCGCAAGAACATCTTCAATGTGGTGAGTAACCGGGCATCTGCTGCTTTTTCTGTACATCTACTGATATGAAATTTTGATGAGAATTAAGTGTTCGGGGACTTGATTGCTGTGGCATTGGAAGTGTATTTTTGAGTTGCACAAGTCTCCATCCAACACATTGTTGGGTATTTGTCTGTGATACTCCTTTAGTGGAGGGTGAATGTGACAGGCATCGAGAGCGATCACTAAATGATTTTTCCCTTTGTTCTGTGCCATTTCGTATGCCATCGTAGCCTTGTACTTGATACCACCACTGCTCTCTTAGGCCTACCATTCATCATCACTTCACCAACATCAGCCTAAGGGCTCAACGGTGGTGTTGAGTGTGATGTGATGTCACAGTCAACTTTGCTAATAGCGACTGCGGATATACAGTTGAACATCGATTATCCGACCACCTCTGGGCAGACAACTGTCAGGCGGTGTTCAGATAAGGCAAATGTTCCGGATAAGAAAACACACTGTAAATACATGTACATGTACATTGTAAATAGAATAGAGTGCTACTTTTCAAAATTTTCGTATTTTTTAAATGGCTCACTACATGCACAGTGCGTACTCTACGGCACGTGCGCCCAAAAAACTGTTACGGATAATCGAATGGTCGGATAGTCGATGTGCGGATAATCGATGTTCAACTGTAACGACAATTCGCGAATAACGACAGAATTTCCATGCCCAGAGCAAAGTCTCATCTAACTGTACTGCATACACAAAGGCACACAATGAAAACCTTGGCAAATTAATTCCGTTGTGACTCAGAGTTTCATGGCTGAACCAATCATCCGACAACGAACGTCACATCGTTGTCTGATGATTGGTTCAGCCATGAAACTCTGAGTCACAACGGAATTAATTTGCCAAGGTTTTTTATTGTGTGCCTTTGTGTACGCCGCTCTGCCTGAATCAGGCACTGAGCACTCTTGCAGAACCAAAGCGTATTGCCTCTGTAACTGTGTGGCATAATAATGAGATCGGGCATAAGGACACTTCGCGAATAAGGACAATTTTCTGATGCCCCGCCGAGTGTCGTTATGCGCAAAGTTGACTGTATTACATTGTAGAGTACACGGTAGTCGTAATGACATGTACTGTCGCTGCTGCTGCTGCTGCTTACCCTATTCTTCCCATTCAGATCTTTTGTGTCAACCCTGTGGAGGAGCAAAGCATTCGCTTGCTACGCGGAGCGCAGAAAATGCTCTCGGACCTGACTCCCGTCAGGTGCGTACTCAAGCATTACAAGCAATGTGTTTAAATGGGCGGTGATGCATGTCAGCCCATGCCCTGTTGGCTGCTTTGCGGTGGTGGGATGTGTGCTCCTGTCTGGTTGCTTTCCCACCATATTATTGCCGGTTATCTTGCAGTGTTTCCATTGCTGTTTTTTTTTTAATAAATCTTTTTTCTCACGATAGCATTGTTGACTTGTGTGTGTTGTTATGTGCAGGATGGGCCTGTTGTTTGTAGCTGGTGGCGGCGGTGAAGTGGATGCTAAGCAGCATGCCGGTGCAGCCCTGACCCGTGTCTACAAGTATGTCCAGTCCAACCAAGGTGGCCGTTCAGCTCTCAAGTGGCTGATTGATGTAAGTCACGCTGTCAATGTCGCCACTGCTGATACTGCTGCCGCAAGCGATTCGTGCCAGTGTGTGGATGTGATGCACGCCAAAACGCAGAGATAGGACATGTTTACTTTCGCCCCGTACATCACATGTTTTGAAGTCCGCACTCAATGGATTTCTCGTGCTCATGCTTTCTGTGGTGTACGTTGTGGCAGCTTGCGTCAATTGTGGACACAGCCTTACACACATTTTGCTTTCTGCTGTGTGGAACATGACCCCCAGTGTTTGATACAGCACAGCGTCCAACATATGGAATATATTCTTGTTGTTCTCTGTAGTTTTATGACAGCAACGAGTTGCCTTTCGATGCCAGTGCTATCTACAAGAAAGTTGTGAGTGAGTTTGGCGAAGACGATGCCGAGGAGTTGTTTGCCATCGATGCTGCCGAAGACAAGATGAGACGGGTAAGGACTATGGAGCGTGCCGTAATTGTGACATCCACCTACCATCCCCGACATAGCAGATGTGTATTGACCCACGGCGCATGTCACTGCAAAAGACAACAAGCATTCTGTCAAACGATCACAAAAATCAACTGGCTGCTTGTCCTGTTGTATGTCTGTTTTGGTCTACTGCCTGGTGCTGGCTTTCATCCTGACCTTGTTTTCACAACTCTGGTCAGGAAATTAGCCGCCCATATGCCTGTTTGTTGTACGACTTTAAATAAATCCAACCAAACTAAAAATCAAACCATCCTTCCACTTTGTGGGCTTGTTATTTTTTCCATATTGACTTTGGATTATCACAATGTGGGATCTTTTCGTGAAGTGATTTTGAAAGAATTGCTACACAGGACACTGGGCTTATTACGCTCTTGGTCGACGTTCACCTTGTCTAGGAGTGATTGTCCTGCTGCAGTATTCTTGTTTTGGTTTTTGTTGTTGGAGTGCATCTTGGCATGTATCTTTCCCTATAACATACGGGTACATTTATCTGCTCCCTTCTCATTGCAGCTTGGGAACCGCTTTTACCAGCGCAAGGGTCTGGGTGCTGTGCCTCGCTTGGTGATCAATGGCCAGATCTTTGAAGTGCCCGCTGGAAAGGTATGTTGATATTCTATTGACCTGTTTGACCTGCATGACTGTACTGTATGCTGCAAAACTGATCTATTTAAGGTGAGGAACAGAGCAGTACTGTTCAAGATGGTTATGATAGGCAGTTGATGGCAAAGTACATGTTTCATAACACTGATCACGGATGTTTTCTTTCACGGAGAATGAATGTGAATCTGCGATTTCTATGGCTATTAAAATATGGCATGTTGCGTACTCAACTTCATCTTTAACTAAAGGTCGTTCTCATTATGTCATTTTCTGTACACGTTGCATTGTTGTCACGCAGGATGTTCGCAAGTCCGTGATCGAGGCTTGTGAAGGTATGTCAC